GGCTGAAGCTGTTCGAGGAGAGAGAGGCTGATGGTATCTGCCATCTTATGCTGCAGAAATGAACTGTGGAGTTCTACATATAGGATAGAATTTCTAGTGTACACACAGACAAACAGAAAAATTAAACTAACCCCTACTGCTAAAATGGCAAGTTAAGGACAGGACTGATGCAGATGAGTCAGCAATAACCAGTTGCACGTATTTATTATATTTTGGCCCATTTGTATGAGGTGAACAAATCAAATCAGTAATTAATAAACAGGAACAGGACTGAGGTTCAGTTTGAAACTGTTAATGAGCATTTGTAGCCTCCAGTTCTGTTTACACCTAAAGTGTGAAGTATGTAAAATAGTCTTGCAGAAGGGTCATTTTGCTTGCTTAAAACAGACTTATCTTAAAACTCATTTCAACATTCTGCCTACATAGGGTTGCTACAAAGAATGAGTATCTTATTTTTTTTTAAAGCTTATATTTATTATTTTGGTAATAATGAAAATATTGCCTTTCATCAGGTGAGACATTTGTCTGGACATCCTTTCCCACAACATTTTAAAGACAGGCTTTTGAAATACACTTAGGATAGAACATCCTCCCCCCCGCATTTCATTTTGACAGGGACCACAGCATAGAAAAGTCTCGGGTACAGAGGGAAGGAGTGGGGGCTTTGAGGCATCTTCTCAAATGTGAGGGTCTCGAGCTAGGTTGTAAATCAAAATGGCCAAAAAATTCATCCTCTCAATAATTTGCATATATGATGTCAGAAACTGGGAATGGGCAAACAGGGGATGGATCATTTGATGATTACCTGTTCTGTTCATTCCCCTGAAGCACCAGGCACTGGCCACTGCGGAAGACAGAATACTGGGCTAGATGGACCTTTGGTCTGACCCATTATGGCTGTTCTTAAGGATCAAAAAGGCTTGTGTCAGTTGGCTGATGCTTCAGAGGAATACTCAGAGTAGTTCATAATGATAGCTTCTTGTATAGTCAACCTATAAAGATTCATATTAATAAGTGTAATAGACCATAAAATCATTTAAAACCTCTGCAGATTAAAGACTCTAAATTTGCACTGAAATGATAATTTTCTTCATTGCTGATCATTCTGTGAAATAAAAAAAAACCCTCTGTCCACAAGTAATACTCTGTAGGTGTTACATCCTTTAAAATGTATATTGTATGTATATATAATATGCACTATGACACAAATGTACTTTGAGAACAATAATTTCTGTTTGTAGTATTTAGTATAGTTGGGAATATTGCCAAGTGATACTGTTCTATTGACATTAGAATTTAGTTTATATTGTAGATTAAAACAGAATTTAAGCAAAGACCATTATTAGCATAAACATAATTTTTTAATTTAGGTTTCATATCTCAATACTCTGCAGTGTAATGGGTTTGTAATGTCCGTAAAGAAGACTGTAGATATAAAGAAGAGGAAATCTACTTAGTTTGTGCTGTGTTTTCAGCAGAATTTGGCTATGATAAAAAAAGGTTCTAATCTCATTTACTATGAATTTGAAGTCTAGGAAATGAAGGAGCTCAGCAACTGTTGAGATTCAGCCTTTAAACAGTGAGTGACTGTAAAAGCTGACTGGCTCATTTTAGCCCTTCACACACTGAGCTATTGTTTTGTGGAAGGCAAAGTCACATGCATTACTAAATTCACAACCAAGTTACACTAATAACGTAAGACACACATTTCCCCCCCCCCCAGGACGGAGAAAAGTGACACATCTTAGCGTGAGAGACAAGGTAGGTGAGATAAAATCTTTTATTGGACCAAATTCTCTTGGTGAGAGATGCAAGCTTTTCTAGCTTACACAGAGTTCTTCTTCGGGTCTGGGAAATGTAGTCAGAGTGTAACAGCTAAATACAAGGTGGAACAGATTGTGTAGCATAAGTAGTTAACACATATTTCAAGGGATCATTCAAGGTGAAGTGGCCTGTTAAGTGACCTCTCCAGTCATAGGGAGGAAAAAAGAAAAAGATGAGGGGATTTTAATGGAGTGTAGATTGTTGTAATAAGCCATACATTCCATGTCTCTATTCAGTCCATGATTTTTAGTATCTAACAAAATTATGAATTTAAGCTCCCAGACTTATCTTTTGGACATGTTGTGCAGTTTCCTTTGAGGATGATGACAGGGATCAAATATAGAGTGACTACTTTTTGTGATCTGTTCCATCTTGTACACCTCCCAGACCTGAAGAAAAACTCTCTGCAAGCTCAAAAGCCCATCTCTCACCAACAGAAGTTGGTTCAACAAAGACACCACCTTGTCCCTTTAATATCTTGGGACCAACACTGCATACAACGTGAGATAACATTATCTCTCTCGCAACTGCAGTCATGGCCTTGGTGTTACTTCATGGCATATTATAGAACAACCTTATTTTATTTTGTGCTTTCCTATTCGATTTCAACAGAGTTGTATAAAAATACATATGTACTAATTGCCCTTAGGAAAGAAGAGTACCGCTTCCTCAATGGAAAGAATACCTGCATC